GGGTTCATGCAAGAATACACACAACAGGTAGATTACCCAATAATTATGCTAAAATTTACAATCTTAGTGCGTCAGAACTAATTGTCTACCCTATTGTCTACGTGTGGGCCAACTGATTTGCCTTTCCTCATTTAAGGGTAAGATGCACAGTGATACTGTAATTAGATACAGCTGCTACTGCTTCCTTAAGTCACTGCCAAGCTTCTTCTAGAGCGAGATCAACAGACTCAGCTTTGCCTGGTTGAGAGTTAAGACAACAAAACACGCTTTGTCTATCAAACGGACCAATGGTAAACACGCATGCAGGTTACTGTCACAAGCTTTAATGAAGAGTGAAGTGCGTTAACGCAACAGTGGCAGAGGAAAAACTTTTTTTTTTAGTCTTCACTTTTTCATTCCCTTTTTATTTTAGAGGCCAAGCCCTCCCAAAAGTCACCGCATGGACACAACAGGGTCAAAATTACCTGCTGACGTATCCCGGTCTGAGAAATGAGCAAGCCTGTCTCCTCGCCGTTTTGGGAACGTCAAATTCGGTATGGAGAGCCCTCCCCCCACCGCCCCCCACCCCCATGTTACAACTCTTAGAAAAACAAGGAGCGAGGATATTAATGCATTCACACGTGATCAATTCCAAGCTGCCAGGCAAAGCTGGGTTATGGAGAAAGGCCACGCTTCAGGAGGGGTGCTCATCCAGAGGTTATAGGGGACCCCACAGTCTTTGGTGGGCTCTACCTGCTTGCACCTCTCCTCCAGGTTCCCCTCACCAGGTAATGAAGGTGTGGTACTGGGCCTGGCTGGCCACTCCTCAGTCGCCCAGTTGTGAAGCGTCTGGGTTTGACAGGCAGAACAGGAGGGTTAAGGGGACGAGAAACGGAGATCCACCTTCCTCTTCCCCGTCGCCCCTCTTCATCCACCTCTCGCCGCAATGCCTGAACCCCGCTGCACGTTCTACACCGTCTCGGCAGAGGCGGGGAAGGGGTGATGCACGGAGAGGGCATTCGATTACACCCACTGGCTCAATTTCATTTACTAGGTCGGTGCCTGCGAAAGCCTGGAGCCGAATGCCTGAAAAGCAGCCGTTACTCATTTCTACCTTATCTGAGAGCAGATCATTAAAGAGCCTGCAGTAAAACAACTAGCATAACCCTCGCAGTCTGACACTGCTGGCCCGCTTCACCACCAGATCTGTGACCTCCACGAGAGAACAGAGGGCAAGGGATTATTAACCCAGCTAGCTGAGCTACTTACTGGCCCAGAACAATAATGGAAATCACGACTGTTGTTAATTCATCTCTGAATCTGAGGATAACTAGGAAAAGTCTGAGTAAAGTGAATCCTGTGCTCGCTTTCTTCGGAGAGCAGAAACCCCTGTGTTCTGCTCCAGGAAGGCCTCCCTGCAGTGCCATGGAGTCAGACTGCAGCTCTCGGTGATGTGTGTGGATCCCCACGCACACACGCCTGGCGCCTGGAGCTGCAGGCGCCATGACCAGTTGAACCCTGCACACGACTTGCCTTTAGGGAACAGCTTGTTCTACTTGGAAATGAGATTTTGTTACAATATCCGACCTTCTCAGAACCTCATATTTATTTACATTTCAAAGTACTTTTTGTAGTGCAAAAATAATTTAAAAAACAACACTGAGCTCACCCTTATCTGTTTTGTCAACTAACAAAAATGAAGTGATGCTGACTGACACGACACACAAGGTATAACAAAAAGACAAAAGACTGTGGAAGAAAATGCTTCTATGGGCATTACAAGACCAGCAAGTTCCTAAATTGTTTTGTCAGTGTATCGCATATAATTCCTATAAGTATTTTTGCTGTAGGACTCATCAAAACAGTGCACTGGCTGGGGCCTGATCCGGATCCATCTTCATTCACTGAATGGATGATTAATTCTAGAAAGGTTTACACTTAATCGAAATTCAACAGCACCCCTAATAAAGTACGTTTAATACAAAGTAGCCTAGTAGTGTTCAAAAATAACAAGCCGCTTTCTCAACAAATTAAAAGTCAAGTGTGTTTTTAATCCAGAGCCACCACCTTCCCTATTAATTCTTCAGTCCCTCCTAAACCACTTGTCTTCCATTTATTCTTCTACGAGAATAACAGTTCAGATTCGCAGCCATGTGTTGCTCTGTGCCATGAAGGGTCCCGTCCTTTAATATAGTACTGCAGCACAAAAGCCATGGCTAAATCTGCAGGAACTGCACGACCCCCGTACAGTACCACGTACCACAAATATAATTTAAGAGGTTGAGTAAATGCAGTTGCAAACAAAGGCAAAAAAAAGTACGTTTTGACCCCGAGCTATGGTCTCCTTCCCTCAGTTTCGCTATGAGGGACCACAGCTGTGTCAAAAACTGCAACGGTGCCGAGTCCTGTACAGACAGGCTCACCAGAGCCAACTCGAAGGGAACCGAGAGAACGACAGGCCCAGCCCCACGGCACATCAGGAAGCTCAAGAGAGGCACCCACCTTTCTCACGTCTGAGCTCTTTGGTTCTGTTGTCCAAGTTATAATACGGGAGACGGCAAGCCGCGTCTCGCTGGAGTTGACAAAGTCAGTGGGGTCCATCTGCCTGGCCAGGGACTCAATATACTTCAGGATTGCTACCTTTACCTTTAACACAGGATTGAAAACATGTGATGCACATCATGAGAAATGGCTAATACGGAGCAGACCATTACGCCTGAAACTGAAACCCCTGTGTCAGGTATTCAGGTTAACAGAAAATCCACAGGACTCTTTTCACTTTCCTGTTTTGTTGAAATAAGGTTGCACAAAGATTGCCAACAGCAGATTTTTTCCCCCTTGTTTTTCATCCTTATTTTTACCCCAACATCAAGTTACTCATTCTAAAATGTCACACATCAGGAGTTTAAATGATTTCATTAGAGCCTTCAGCATTTTCAGCAATTGCAGTCGTCTGAGAAGCATCTCTTAAGAAAAACCCTGGGAATATCATTATTTCTCACACAACACAGCTAGTGCATGTTTGTCCGGAAAATTTCAGCAGAGTTGCATTTGAAAAATCAAAATATTCTGACGTATAATTTACTTTTTTTTAATAAAACGTTATTAGGCATTAAGTGCAACATCTTTGTGTAATCATCAAAAATGTCAGTGTACTTACTTTGAGGTTTGGGGTTTGTGTTTGATCAACTATAAACCTCATCAGAATGTTAAACTGCTGATCAAAAGGAAACGAGTCCCTGCAAAAGAAAACAGATGGATTGAGGATCCTCAAGGGCTCTGATAAAGTCAACCCACTAGTCTTGTTCAGAATCAGCGCGGAAACACAAACCAGGAGACAAGAGGAAACTTGGTGGAAGAGTATTCAGAACCGAGAACAGGAGTCTCCTCTTTAAACAAAGGATTTTGGGAATCTCTAACAAACTATCCGCCCCAGCTGACGAAACCCATCGCCTGGCTTCTTTCGAGAAACATCTGGATGAGATCCACCGACTTTTTTGGCTACTTGAAACCAAATGAGTTAGATCAGACAAATGGCCTCTGCTTGCTTGTAACCTTTTTTATTACTATGTGTGTTGGGGCAATAGACAGTAGTGGACAGGAAAAGGAAACCAACGGCCGACATGTCTGTTGAGGTACACCCCCCATCACTCTGACCTAGTGACATCCAGGGCTTTCTGAACTTTCGCCTGGACCGACCCCAGCAGGTCTGCACCCATCTTCTTCAAGAGCTGAGTGAGCAGCACAAAGAGCCAGTCCTGGAGATCATCCTTGTGTATTGTGATGAAATCCACTAGAGTCTCTAAAAACATGCTAAATACCTGGCAGATACAAATGAAACACACACATAAAATTAAGCAGTTGCTAGTGGTGACAGGGGCAATTCATAATAATTTGATAATAGAGGCAAAATATCTTTAAGTTAATGTGATAAACACAGGAAAATATGCAATCTTGATTAAAATACAAACTCTTTTCTTATTACAGATTTTAAAATAAAGCGCATCCTAACAAGAATAAGGTAATTGTAGAAGTATGATTATTGTACACAATCTCTTGAATTGCACCAGGTATGAAAATAATCATAATCAGAATTAGTTTATGCAGACAATAGCAATATAATTATTGTATGCGTTTAAAAAAAGTTTGGTTGGTTTTTTTTGGGGGTTATATGAAATAAATTAAAAAGACACACTTACTCTCTGAAGTTAAAATCCACACCAAGGCAGAACATGCAACAAGATAAATACTTCATTAGTAATAGTGAATGTACCTTTCCCAGCAACATCATCAGCACTGGAAATCTTAAATCCAGTAATAAAAAAAATCAACAGAGAGACAGTGCCCCCTCATGGCCATTGTGAGCACAGAAAAAGCCATTTCTTTGCATTTTCAGTTAAGCACAGTGCTGTATTTAACTCTGTGTATGTGCAACATAAGAATCAACTGCTGTTAATGTCCGAGACTAACAAACACATTCACAATATTAAACTTCCAATAAAAAACAACAAGCTATTAATCACAACTACTCGTGCACCATCGTTCTCTCCATGGGGTTAGAGCTTTAAGGCTTTGTATTTTGGTTTTTAAACACTTCCCAGAAGGAAACCAGCACATTCGCACTTCAGAGACAGGAAACGCTGAAACTACCTTGCTGTGAGGATCTGCAAACATCCGGGTGAATATCTCGCAGAGTCTTTTCAGTTCCACCCGGCTGAAAGAAAGAACAATACTGCATAAACAACGTATACCTGAGGGAGTGAGCGAGAGATATAAGGGACGACGCTGCTTCAGATGTTAACTGAAACAATTCGGCTCTATTTGATATAGTGAATATTTTTGACACATTCATATATATATATAGACCACAAATGAATTAATTGTTGTTTTGTTTCCAGCAAATGACAGAAAGCTCCTCTGCGTCTGTGTGGTGAAGCAATCATGTTCAGGAAGGATCCTGCAGTACTGTATCGTACACCTGTGTCACACACACTTGTTCCTGTCCGCGTATGGCTTAAGACAGTCAGAAATCACAGCCTTGAAATCAGTGCCCATTATCACTTGCCATTTCCAGATCAGGTAAAGCTTGTTAGCTGTGATGATCTCTGTACTGGGATGGCAAACGTGTTCTCTTCCTTTCAGAAAGGGACAGTGAAGTTAGTAAGGGGAGAGGCCGGACTTTGCCTTTCTGGATAAAGGGATCGTTGCCACTGCTCACTGCAGTGAGACTTGGGTGCTCATTTGTACAGTCAGTAATACTGGCTGCTCTGACACTAGTCTGGACTTTTCCATCATTTCCTCTCGCCGGCAGGACAGTGCTGTCTTGCTACAGTACGTCCTGTATACTGGCAGTGTTTTTATGCGAGGTAAGGAGCAGTGTGAAGCTACCATCTGTATTAATGAATAACTCCCAAGCGCTCTTACATTGCATGGCATAAGGAATAAGGAATCGGAGTGTTGCGTCTGTTAAAGAAGCCCAGGACCGCAGTTCGACGGTAATCTACTATTCCAGAGACTCTCGCTTAAAAAAAGCGTGACAAAACGGCACGTGAACGCCACAAATTGCTCACACACCCCCCCCCCACTCAAGACCCGAGATGAAACGTTTGTCCGGCCCGGGGCGGGCGCCCACCTCAGAGTCCTCTGGCTCTTGAGCAGGTTCTGCAGGCCCACGAGGCCCTCCTTCCGCTCGGACCAGTTGGAGCTGGCGCAGCGGTTCAGCACCTCGGCCACGTCCTCCGTCTGCCGCAGGTAGTGGGGGACGCCTCCGTTCCGGGAGCCGTAGGAGCGCTCCGAGCAGGCGCTGGAGGCGTCGCTGTTGGCGTCGTCGTCCGAGTAGATCCCCGGAGACTCGTACCGCCGGCGGACTGGCTTCCTCTGCTGAGATGGGAGCGGGCGGGTAAGGCGTCAAGCAGCACACAACGGGGCGGGGGCGAACACACAGCTTGGTTCACTGGCTGCGGCTTTTTTTCTGGACAAAAGCTATGTTTCGGCCAGCGTGGGCTTCCTCGGTGCCCAGCATCTCCACCCAGCTGATGTCCAGCCTGTCCTACCTGAAGACACACTGGCTGTCCCTGTAATATTCCAGCCAGAAGCAAGCCAACTGGATGGGTCTGAGAGCGCTACCTTGCTCAACTGTCACCTCAAGCTATAATCAAACACTGAACATGCAGATTTATACCAACACCAGATTATTCCTGTTACATCGGACAGGAAATCTTGTGTGAAACTGAAATTCAAACTATGCTGCAAATTAGCAGCAATGAAATTAATTAAAAATGCAATGTGTTATTAATGTTTTACTAATGCAAGACTAACCCCGCAGGGCTAAATGTCTTCACTGTGTTTAAATGATTAAATCTAGGTATGCATTAAAACAGGTTGAAATGCAGGTGGAAGAACAGACAGATCCTTCAAAATAGTTTTGTATTAAAACATATAATTAGGAGCATACACATTTTTCTGAATATTTAAATGCCTTTCTCATAAATAGACCATAAGACAATGGTGAAAGTTAGGCTTCTAATCCAACACAGTCACTTCCATTTAAAAGAGCTAGCACTTGGCAAACCTGAATTATTGATCAATTAACTAACATGTAGAAAAAGTTAACATTTGAAGCACAGTGAAATGGAGGAATAGGGACAAAACATCATGGGAACATAACTGGTTCTTCACTGGGTAAATCTGACCTCGCGGTCAGCTGCATATTTTAAATTTCAATTACGGGTTCAAAGGAGACGCAGACAAAATTAAATGGAATTGTGTAAATGAACAATAACAAACAAATGGCGTTATGATAAAAAGTAAAACATTTATGTTGCACAAAAAGCCATTGAGAAACAACCTGGATTGAAAACTTAGCCTTAGCGATACACTTGCAGCTATTTTACAGTCTAAGAAGAACAGACTTTTGGAAACAAGTACTAATGCAACACAAATGTTGGAAAGAGTAGAAAATACTTCTACCGCACAAAATTAAACATTAAAAAATAGAGACTACATTAACATGCTCTTTCACTGGATACCAAGACCGTATGCCCACTTAAAATATTGAAATAAAATGATTAAGTCAATCATGAACAAAGGTACAGTACGATCTACAGCGTGGTTAATTTTCTTTGCTTCCTTTTGTATGCTACAGTATGTAACTTGTACACTTTTCTCGATATCCGAAACTAAGATTTTTAAGTTCAAGTGACAGACTACAGCTGGGCATAAAGAGGGTGTAGTATCAGTGTGAGATGTAAATTATTCCAAACCAAGCTGCAGAACACAAAAACACAAAGGACAGGGGACATGAAAACTCAAGAGAAAAGTCTCAATTATTGTCTTTGATTATTAAGTGAACACCCTAGGAAAGATCTACAGTAATATGGTCATTTGTAATAAGATGTGTTGGGAAGAGGAGCACCACATTACTTTTGTGCTTGACTGCAGAAATCTGTCTAGCTATAATGTCTGACCCTCTTATGCATGAAAGACCTTTGGTGGTTAGTGGGTGAGATGGAAACACAAAAAGAACAATATATAAATAAACAACTACCTTATTCCGGGAGTCTCCTAATAGCTGAGGATGTTAAAACAATTAAGGAAGGAAGAGTGAAGAGAATTTTGTTAAATGTGCATAAAACATTGACACTCTGTAGCAGAAAAGGTATGGAAAATAACAAAAACTTCCACCCCCACTCCAGAAACAAGGAAACAGGGTATTTTACACTTAAAAATGAAGATTTCAAAGACTCCAATGAAAACCGGGAGTGTTCTGTCCCATCAGAGGCTAATAAAATGAGCTACTGAATTGGAATTATAACTACTGTACCTTATCACTGTCCAATTTTTCAGTTTCTAAAAAGAGCATCCATCACCCCCTCTTTCTAGGTGCAGTTAAATTACTCTTCAAGACTGACTCACTAGGTTATTTGTCATTTTCAAATTATACTTAAAAATGAATAAATATTTGTCCTGAATCACCCACTTTAAATGACCTACAGTATGTATAAGAGCCTTTACACGTCACTGTTTCATGGACACTACCCTAATAAAATATTTGGTAATGCTTTATTGAAAAGTTGCTGCACGTTGGTGCTTCATAGTGTCTTCATAACTGCGCTTGGTACGATGCAATGCTAAAACAAACGTCAGGGCATCTTATGCCCAGGTTGTATCAGTCGCTCATGTCCCTGTAAAGCATTATGCATGTGATTACAACGTCTTGGGGAGCAGCTATGAAGGGATTATTAAGATCTTGTGCTGCAACATTCAGATAAAGCGTCACCAAATATTTTCAGATTTTAAGATAGCACCTCCATGTTTCCGCAGACATATGAGACCTCCACCAGCATTCTTGTTACGTGCTGGACAGATCAAGATTTCTTCTATCTCGGAAATCAATCTTGGAAAATGACGAATGATTACAGAACCTGGGTTTGTCTATCGCTCATCGCCCCTTAGAATCTACAGTTTCTTTCGACCAGAAGTACTAAGATCATAAAATGCTGACCAACTGAATTCCTACATAAAAGAAGAAAGCTTAGGACAAAAACTCCTGACTTGATGGGCCACTGAGGAACAGTTCCAAAATAACAGACATGACTAAAATACAGAAAGCCGGCTCGATATCCAGCAGAGAATCTCACCAAGGCGTCGGCGACAGCAGCCTCGACCTCCGTGCTGGTGTTGAGGACCCTCATGGCATTCACTGAAGCCGAGATACGAGCTTGGTGGGCCAGTCCGAACCGATCTAGCGGGCGGGAAGCAAAAGCACCCAGTGAAACCCAAACCGAGGATGAGAGGGGGCAATCAGCCTCTGCCTCGCAAATAAAAACAAATACGAAACGTCGCGTTGTCCTTGCCAAACACGAAGGGAAGCGAATGAGCTTAAAAACAAAATGAAGATGAGCACAGCTAAAATCACAAACTTAAACGCACTGATTTTTTTTTTTGCCACAATCAAAGTTCAAGAACTACATTTTAGAAAAAACAAATTCTCAAAACTGTTTTCAAATTTTTGGGCTGGTAAAAGCTGGGAATTACATTACCTTTCCCAATGTGACTTATAAAAGCTTTGAAAAATCTATAAACCACACATACAGGTACAGTATGTACAGACAGTCTCCACTGCTCACAGAAAATTCTGAGAACATTAGCTTGAGTAAACCAACATTTAGAGCTTCATGTCAGAGTTGTTTTAATAGCAATACTAGTAAGTTACTTACAGTTTAACCCAGACGGTCAGAAGCATACACGCAAAGCAAGGAAACAAATTCCTTCTCTGACAATTCCAGGTTCATGAAACGTTAAATCATCCATTGCTTTAAGTACTAAGAATGTGGCAGAACAAAATATGGATGCCGTTGTAAGGAAGTACATTGCAGTATATTGTGACACAAACCAAAGCACTGTACAGTGAAAGATGAAACACTGCTCAAAGCTGAAAGCAAATGTTCAAACTGAAGGAACTGAAAAGCAATGGTGTCTATGCATGTAGCCGATGTACAAATGTATCAGCATTTATAGGGAAAGCCAGAATCCGGTCTCACAAACAAAATGAAAAAATGAAACAACTTTTTCTTCAACAGACTGGAGAGAAACTAAGTCTTTTTAGGTAATGTGATTGATGTATTATTTTTGAAAGCTCTCTCAACTGTAAAACAGCATAAAATACAATACAAAACAGTAGCTTAGACGAAAAGGGACAGTGGGACTTAAAACTACTGGCACCGATTTGTTCTTCACAGACAACATGATACAAGATCATTTTTTATATATGTTTTACTGTATCATTAGTCATCTTTATATCGAAAAGAAACAGCTATGCTACACTATTTGTAACTTACATTGCTGTAATTCATTTGGCACTTTATCTTAGTTGATATTGCAATACATTGCCTAAACAACAAAAATAAGATGATTTGCTACTTATAAACTATGAGGACAACATGATAAATATTATATATTATAAAGTAGTGGCACTAAATTAAATTACTTTTGCTCTTTACAAAAGTGAAACAGAGTACTTAAGTGCTTCTAGAGAAATCCTACAAACTGAAATGATTTTACTAGGTTTTTGCCTAAACGAAATCCCTTTTGTCGTTTTTTTTGTTCTTCAAATTAGAACCGTCTATTGTTTTTCACCGTTATAGACCCAGTGGACTTTGGAAACGAGGAAGTGCAGGCACACTCCTCCGACCTGCCCACTTTGAGCCCATCGGGGTGCAGTACTGACAGGAGAAGAGGCGTGTCCTTCACTGACAGCACCTCCTGCAAGGCCACAGGGGGGCGCTGCACTGTCTGAACGCGAGAGACGACCCCCAACCAACTACTCCCCATTCAGCATAGAGCCAACTGTGCATCACCTCTAGGAGGATCACAGTCACACCAGGCTGGTGACCAACAAGACTAGGGGCCGAGGGGCAAAAGAAACCCCCATTTAGAAGCACAAAATTATTTTAAATCAGAACGCAAGAGGTTGAAAAAAAAAAAAAAGGAAATGCAAAACAGCAAAACAAAATGTACCAAAATAAATTCAAAAGGAAGCAATGCTAACAAAAGAGGCAAAATCTTTGAAGGTAGCCGAAATGAACCATCCGGTTCAAAATCACAGCAGCGATGTTTAAAAAAGCCACAAAAAAAATAGTTAATGACTCCAGCTGGAACTTAACCCTTCACATGCTGAAGAGGACTTTCGAGGCGCGTTCCCTGCTGCCTCCGTCCTCCGCAGTGTGAGGGGCAAGCTCTCGCTTGGGGGGGTGGGGGGGCTCCAGACACCAGGAGCACATGCCAGCTGCAGCCCTGGCCTCTGCAGCCACGAGTGACGTGAAGGGGTGGACATGGATGGGCATGCAAGAGGCTAGCCGCGGATCACCTGACGGGCCCACAGAATCGGCCGTGGAGAGGGCGCTGGTGGACCGGGAGTGGCGTCGGGAGGCTGCAAGGAAACGGAGGGCAATACCGCGGGGGTTAGTGTCACACGCTCCGCCCCTTCGGGGCTGGCGGCCCACCGGGAACGAGATGCAGCGACATGCAGAAACGCCATGAGACCCTGGCACACACCTACAGCTACAACATCACAATGATGCAACCATGCTTCCTGGTTGACGTCACACCTGTTGCCCAGGTAAGAAAGGCTGCGCTCACAAGCACCAGAGGCCTCTGCAGTTCCCAGGTGACTGCTCGGAAGACGCCCAGCACATCTCAAAGACGCGTGGGTATTCAATTGCTTTCTATGACCGAGATCGAGAAAACTCCAAGTTTATTCTGACTCCAGAGCTGGATTTATTGCATTGAGTGTTCACGAGGGTGTCAAAACTAATTTAAAGGTACAGATCAGACGAGGTGTGGAAACTAGTTTTCACTAATTTCAGCCTGAATTCGTATGATGAGAGGAACAAATTGTGCAATTTGAGTTGAACAAACTCAAGCAAAAAGCCTTAAGTGTAGGTGTCTAACAACAAGGCAGTAAAGAAATTTGTACCTTTTGACTAATAATGATAAACATTAAAACCCAGGCTTACAGAAAACATTTGTACAAAACTTTTTTAAAGCGTTGCACATGCAAGCCAAACTTCATCACCAAAAAATCCCTGTGTTCTCAACACCATTAGGTAAACAAAGAAAATAATTAAATCGCCCAACATCTCGGAGAACATATTTGCACACCCTTTGACGCTGTTGTTGTTGATTTTACTGTCCAAAAGACAGAAGTACACAAGGCATCCTGTGTGCACAATTTAAAGTTTACACTTATCAAATGTTCAGTACTAGCAAGCTCACGCAGTCAGTAAAGGTCAACGATCATTCTGTCCTTAATCAAAAGCTGCAGTGCCTGTGAGCTGTGTCAAAGACAAAGTGATGAGGTCTTGACTTCAAATGCCCTGAGGTCCCTTCTCTCTATCACTCAAGACACCTTCCACCACCCCAGAACTACTGTACCACAGAAACATTCAAGGGCTGTCCTCTAAAATTTAGAAAAACTCAGTGGTTTTAATAATTAGGAAAAACTCACACCACACAAAACAAGAAAACTTAAGAAGCACGTTATGATTCAAGTATTTCTAAAAGATGTACTGTTTATACTGCAAGCAAGTTTTTCTGGTTTAAGAAGTTTGCTTTCGTAGCGCTCTGTCTGCTATTTGCTGAGGTCCGTGCCCTGCGATTGGATACAGGGGTGGGGCTGCGTCCTCTTCTGAGATGCTCCTCAGTACGGTCTTCAGAGCAGGGGCCGAAGAAAGTAGTGCATGCACAGACGGGGTGGGAGAGGGAGGGAGAGGAGAGCTCAGAAAAGAAGGCGGGACCAGTCTCCCTGGCAACGAGAGCCAGGGCCGCTGGGATTGGCTGCGCGGACGGGGTGGGGTTGAGGTGGGGAGGGGGTGGAGCTCCAGCGCCGTCATGTACTCACCCAGCGGAGCGAAGCCCCGAGCGGGGCTCGTATCTCGACTGCTCTCACGACTGGCGTCGCGGCTGCACCCCTGACTCAAGCTGGGTCGAGGGATGCGGCTGCTCCGTGCTAGCGTGCAGTGGGGAAGAGCAGCAGACAAGGTGAACAGGTTCCCTCACACACCCAGGCTTTAGAAACACAGGTTAGGGGGTTAGAGAAGCCAGCATCGCACACAGGGCTGAGTGGACAGAGGAGGGGGGCGTTTCTGAGACGTTAGTAACCGAGCAAACCCACTGGACCGCGCAAGAAGGCTAGACCTGAGATTTTGTGAAGCGTAATGAATTGTAATTGTAATTACAACCGAAACTGATTTTTCCGTTTCCTTTTAACAGAAATTGATATGATGCTTTCCTCAAAGCACCGGATTTCAGAAAAAAATACAAAGTCCATTTTCTAACCTTGGGAACAAGGTTTAAGAATGCTCTTTCACTCGTGGAGATACGATGGACACAGCTGCCTAGTCAGTGTTTCACTATGAAAAGAAAGTACTGTACAAACCACAGTAACAAAAAAAGCTATTAGCCAGTGAATTGCAGAACTTCACTTGAAGGTGTCAATTTACCACACAGTTTCTTGTGAAAGGAAAACAAAACAGTTATATTACTATATTAATATCACTATTAAAAATATTGTACCAATAATTTGTTATCACGAACTTAAAGAAAAGCCAGATCTCTATTCTTAAAAAAATGTGCAAAAATGAGTAAACTGAAAATATACTCATTTTTCAGAGAGGTGCTATAGCTGAGCCATATGTCAAAATAACAACAGAACACCTGAACACACTCTGGAGCTCTTACAGACCTCGTTTTGTGCAAAAAAATGCTTTTCATAAATAAGGCAATGAACTCTTAATAATTACGCAGCTCTGCATCTAGCAAAGAGAGTCACCTTTATAATGGTTTCTCAGCAGCCCAATTAAAAAACGTGTTTCACAGTCCTCCGGATGCTGTGATGACAGAATTTCTTGTAATGAGCTGACAGATACGGTGATCTCAGCGATATGGATAACAGCACTCGGTTCCACACTGATGAGAAGCTGAGATGGAAGGTGGCAGTTTGATAGTCCCACAGGTGATCAATTACATTGATCACTGAAATACGCGCACACATTAATTCAGAAAAGCAAACAGCACATCAACTACATTGCACGTCTCCGGTGTATTGCAGGACAACGAGTCCTGCCTTTTCCCCCCTTTCATAGCCCCGCCTGTGTACCGGTATGATTAATTTAGGAAAAAATGATGCTTCTAAAGGAGCTCTTACTGAGATCTCTACTGTAAGAGAGAACTTGATTTGTCTTTTGCACTGGGATGGTCAAAGCCCTTTACAAATGACGCCGTCAGAGTGTCAGATTGCCACAACAACAGAGAGCGCTGCTTTGCTCTTGGGAAGAAGCCTCACTGTCAAATCACCGGCCACCTCCTTCTTACTCGGGCCCTTACACATTGGTGGTGGCGGAGGGGAGTCCCCTTTTACCTGGAAGGCACTTTGAGGGGAGAGTCCAGAAAAGTGCTACTGTATGCAAGTGTAAGGAATTATGATGATAACACTCCTCGAGGTACAGCTAGTGTCCTGGAGAGGCAGGCTGAATTTAGCAACAGTCGCACCAGCGGTCCTCCCTGTGCCCAGTGCAGGCGCAGGTCTGTGCAGGAGGAGACGCGAGGGGCTCTCACACCTGCGCTGCGATGCTCCGGGTCTCGGCCGCGTGTCCTTACCTATTCCCAGCCGGCTGGGGCTGGTCTCCCGGCTGCAGCCCTGGCTGCGGGGGATCTTGCTCCGCTTGTCCGAGGGGGTGGCGGACGCCGCGGCCCGCGCCGTCCGTCCGTAAGCGTGGCCCAGGAGCTTCCCGGGGGAGCTGGAGCGGCTGCCGGCTGGAAACGGGGACAGCCGAGGCGGAAGTCAGCGCGAGAGGACAGCTACAGGGCCGCGGTGCGGAGACTTCCCTGCCCTGCACCAGCTCCCAGGAACACTTCCAGGTCACGGCCGGCTGCAGGGGGGTTGCTGGGAGTGGCCCTCGCAGTCTTGCTGGGACGCGATGGCGCAGAGTCTTACCGCGGCAGGGTTTTAACGTGTGTTTATTCACCTACAAGGTCATTACTTACTTCTTAAAGTCCTTCTTAAAAGTAAAGCAAAATTTCCCAAACAATTTGGAATCGCCTTTTTTTTTCACTCAGCTGGTATTGGACAACTGTCAGAATTGTTTAAGCCTCGGGCTCGCTGGACAGCCAGTCTCACACCCTCTTAGGAGAGAATGAGACAGACTGTTCGGGACCCTGCAGAGCTGCGAGCTCGGCCAGCAGATCCGGGAAAGCCCTGGGAAAGCCCTGGCTGCCTGATCCCAACTTGGTCAACTCTGTGTCCTGCTTGGGCAGTCCCGGACGCATTCGGCTAGTGAAGTGACCCAGCTATCACAGCATTTTTTTTACTGCGGCACTGACTTGCAGCTTCGTTGTTTAGTCAGAAGTGTCAATTACATTTGGGAATGACACAACTGATTTCCATGGTAAACAACCGAATTTCTACAATCAGTACTGTACGTGATGAATTCAATGAAAATGAACAACAGACATTCAATTTGCAACAGTAGTGTTACCTCCTACAATAAATAATAACATCCAAATTTACAGAAATTCAACTCGTTAAAAGCAGGAAAATAAAAGGGTCAAGACAATCATGCAGGGGCTGGAAACCTGGACCTAACTGTGTTGCAGGGGGACTTACCAACTACACAAAAAAGATGAAGCATGCAGGAACACATGGCTTTGACTAGACTTTTGACGATTGCAAAACCATGCAGCTGAAATGTAATGCATCATGCAGCCCCATGCGATCTCTGTTACCAAGGAGAAGGGCAGGTAGGAAGAGAAAGAACTTCCTAGGACAGCAAGAGAGGCTTACCACCAGCCGGGTTAGCTGATCTGGATCCTTTTTAAGCAAAGCAAGTCGGAGGACAGCAAGAATCAGCTCGTTACACACAACTCAGTCAGCGAAAGAAGAAAAACCCAGCACTGCGTTCAGATGTGACTGAGCACGCCGCATTCGCTTGGATGCTTCAATCTCAGCACTTGAGTGCAGGAGGCTCTGTTAGCAGTGCATTTCTATTTTAAAAGGTCCTGCTGGTTATACACTGGTCAACAGAGAAACTGCAGCTCATGTGTCCTGGAGTCTTCTACAGTACATGCTGGAATGCTGAATATAACTGGGCCCGCTAAGGGGATGCAATGTTTTTTTTTTTTTAAGTTTGGACAAATTAGCCTTTTAAGTGGGAAAAAATAGCCCTGATTAAATACGGGATCTGAAATTTAGACTGTACTTATTTTAAAATAAGTTCAAGTAGGGAGCTGTGTCAGCATGCGTAGGCTATAAAGGAACAAGTAAAGGTTTATTCCATGCTGAAAAGGAAGGAAAGAAAGGAAACAACGTTTCAGCTGTGGAGCCTTCTTCTCACAAGGAGGCTCCACAGCCAAAGCGTTGCGTGTCCTTCTCTTTTCAGCATGGAATAAACCTTTACTTGTTCCCATGATAAAACAAATCCACCAACGGAAAAAACCGGAGAGGTCTTCTGACGGCTGTAAAGCCCTGGGGGTTAAGGCAGCTCCAGATGTTTGTAACACGAGCAGGTGCTCGCTGTGCTGCTCAAGAGACGGGCTGCGTACTCACGCTGAGACTGTGACGCCACCTTGGCTCTGCTGCGCCCCCTGCTGTCTGTGGGTGTAGTGCTCACCCCCACGGCGCTGCCCGAGCTCTGGCGTCTGGTGCGCACTCGGCCTGAAGGGGGCGACAATCAGAGAGGTCAATCACAAAATCCATCCTCCAGCGCTTTGAAAGATGCACATGAGAATTACCATTACCAGCTTCAGATAGATTTGGTTTGAGGGAACATACATATAGGACTTTTACCAACAGGCACGACAAAAAATACAAATACACATTGCATACAGTGTTTGATCACACAGTATTTCACACAGGTCCTGTGGCACAGTTGAAACTGAAAAGCTGTTGATTAACACCAATGCCATCAAAGAGAGGCCAACCAAAAACAGGAACAAAATATCACAGATTTATTACACATTGATACTACTAATCCTTAAACTATATAATAGTGCTCCAGATCATGGTTCCATAGCAGATCTCAGTAGATGAATGCAATCCTGTCCTGAAACTGATATCACCTTGAGCTACAAGATTAAACAGCACTAATAATACTAAAATATAGACAACCCAGGGGAGGACAATCAAAATGAAATGCAGTTGCATCGGTAGTAGTGCCATCGGTGAATAGTTCATGTGTTTTCAACTGATTCACCACTCTTTAACTTAGTGAAAAATAAAAACCACAGGTTCATTATTTAGGTTAAATGTAACTTCACACATACCCTTAAGTGTTAACTGAGAAAAAAACATCTAAGCTGTGTACTCTGTCTGCAGTGCAATACATCAGTGAAACTGCCTCTGAGGAAAACAAACAACTATCTTGTCCCTGGACAAGAAGATGGGTTACACTTTAGGTCTAGCAGAAGAACATACAGTTAAGTCATTAGTGACACAGCTTTCATATCAAGGAGGAATTAAGAAGCCTATTCGGGACCTTCTCTGCCACAAACATGAAATGAATGATCTACCAAAATCCAAGGTACAGAATAATTTATTTTTTATGTAATCAGGGATCAGTATTACAATAAGCATTTCTCACTGATCACTCACTGATCACAGTTAGCATGAAGGAAGAAGGAAGTACTGTAGCTACAATTTACGAGAACGTCCATTTTCTGCCTTTGTGCTCAGCGTAATGTTTTTTGGTTCTAACCTTGTATACAGGCTTTTTATTTGCATGTTTCACATTGTGAAACGCACACAATTTAAATGCAAAGGAAAAGAAAAACATTTCACTGCAGCAGGTGAAATTCACTGCGATAATTTCTTGGCTCCAGAGCAGGAACTTAATCCCTCTATCCACTACTCTTAGGTCAGATGGAGTCCAATAAGCGATATCCTCCTGTTTTCCAATTTTCTGTTATATCATTTTGGTGTCGCTGTGCAAGATGTGACAGGGAAGAGAGATTCCTATGGTAACAGGCTGATAGAGAAACGTCTGCTGACAGTCGTGAGAACAGAGAGACCTACATGGGTTCTTGTAGACCAGGAGGGAAAGGTGCCTCATCCTCTGGGATTACAGGAGGGAAGGCAGAAAATAATGACCACAGATTGGCCAATAATACTGAAATGTCAATGGAAAACAGATTTAATATACCTTAAATGTGCATGGACACCACTAATTAATTTGAAAGATTTCCATTAGGTACAGGTTTTAAATTGTAATGACAAAGAGGATCAAAATAGGTATGAGCATTTCCACCACCTTTCATTTAGACCTGTGGGAAAAGCAGGAAGCACAGGACCTTCCTGCAGGAAAATATGAATTGTAACCATAAAATCACGATGGAGAGATCTGAAATAACATGAACACCATAGCTATTCATTTGAAGGTAACGCTAATCAACCAAAATGTACAAGATTTGTACTGCGCCTCACCATTTCGCAAAAAGAAGGAAGTACGACGGGTGAAAATCCACTCATTACTGCCTGTAATGGCTCACAGAGTGGCCTGTATGTGATCTGTACGTTTTTTTAGGCCTTACTCTCGGAGCCCATGAGCCAACACACGCTCATGGTCAACAAACCAGACACAAACTGTTCAGAACACATTCACTGTGTATCGGCACAAAATCATACTCGCACTAGTTACATTCTCAGATTCAAGAATTTATCTTAAAATACAGACGCATAATTTGTCTATTTTCACTGGTACGAACAGCTGCAACTGTATACAGTATGCACGTTATCAGGAACAACCTTCAGATTTACAGTTTAATACCCTTCAGTCGCTGTGAATGGTCAGTGCCTCAAAAAGGCAAGAGTTTAAATATCCAACTTCACACCAGAAAACAAAACAAAACTACTGTTACCGTATATGCGTATTTTGTTATTAACTGAAATCAAGCACAGTGTTGCCTTCACTTCAGTGTTGCAATCGCAGGGTCTGAAGCAATGCAGAATGCCTCTCTTGAATCAGTCCCAAGGAGATCTCTACAGATCCCAAGACCGTGCCCTGATCATTTCCGCACTTTGTCAGTGAAGCTGGAGGAGTGTCACAGGGGCCCAGCGGCGTATAAGCTTGTATGTAAAGAGCGAATCATTAGTACACCACTGCCGTTCTCACTTCAGAATAATAAGTGGCACCATGTGCACAGGACTCCAGCTGCTCCAAGAATCATTTCAAAGCTGTAGCTCTAGGATTCACTGTAGCGCATGTAAAGACATCATACACACCACAGAGGTGCTGTTTTGTCACATGTACCGACACAGAACACAGACAAATGCACAACACTGAGGGAACTGTAAAGGACTTAACACGTTCTGGAGATTTTTTTAATGGAGAAACTTCAGCACCTTTACATTACTCAACACTGGTTAAGCCCACATGGCAATGTGAAGATCCAAGAAGTTCTAAGAAAGTGCATCACAAAAAATGTGAATTTTGGAACAAAAAAAACTAAGGCCTGTCTAAAGTTTAGACTGGACAGAAGTGGAGAAACTATCTGAAGAGGGGTCGTGCGCTTTCTAAATCACAGAGGGAGCACAACCATGCAGACAGACCATGCAGAGTGACGCTCTCCACAGATGAGTGCCGGGAATGTAGTATGCATTTACTGAGGGAATAAACCAAGAAGAATACAGCTTAGTTGACAGACTTGGTACAAAAACAAACATCTTACCCTCCGATTTAGTGGGTGTACCATCTTCAAGCAAAAACAAGAAAAGTGGGAAGAGGGTTAACAGGGAAAAATTAGTATGGATTAGCAGCAAGCGGGGGGGGGGGGGCTAGATTGGGCTACAAATGTTCTACTGCACCAAATGACAGGGAATTAAAACAGTATCTAAATCAAAGTGACCATTCACAAGCAAGGAGGTTTACCCATTTCCCCGAGAAACTTCCAAGTTGACCAATTCAGATTTCCTATGCTGTAGAACGATTTCCTGTTAGCATTTATTTTTTAACACGCAGTTAAAGTTGGGGAGGGAGTGCATTTGGAAGTTAGAAGGCTGCGATGGGAACAGAACAAGGTGAGTTATTAAACTTGAACGGGAAGCCAATGTTACAGCTAGAAGAAGCATCTTTATACTGGACATACTGGTCAAAATGCTCTAATAACAGCTCCAGGTCTGAGAGACAGAACAACAGTTATTTTTATTAGGGAAGAGTATTCCACAGAGCTTATGGTAGCTGCAGCTTGTTTAAAAGTCACCAGTCAGTCCCTCAACACACCACTGTCCAAAGCACCCTGTGATCAGCAGTACAACCATGTACTGAAGTCTTCAAAAAAGAAACTGTAGAAGGGGAAGCCTGTAGACCAAGGCTTTAAAGGTCTTTATTCCTGACAGCGCTATCTGATTGCTTTCTGGGGGCTGGCAAGGTTATTCGTTGTCTAGATGAGCCATGAAAGCCAGTCATGTGCTTGTGGGCAGTCAGGCAGACTGAGATGAGCATAGATGAAAGGGATCGGCGGCGCAGCTCCGGGACCCTGCCCGCGGGCCTGCAGCGCACCGGGGGGCCGCGGCGGGCGAGGAACGGAGAGGTTACCTAAGGAGGCGTAGGAGCCAGGAGGCAGGGCCGCGGCGGAGCTGAAGGGCGCGGCGGCGGGCACCGCGGCCATCCTGGACTTGGAGCTGGCGGCGGCGTTGACGTCGATGTCGCTGCGGGAGCGCTGCAGGGAGCCCGGCGTGGCGGCCGGCTTGGCGCTCACCGAGGAGGCTGTCGGGGAGGAGGGGGAGAGGCTCAGGCGGGTGGCAGCGACCCGGGGGGGGAGAACTAGAATGAACGTACACGCTTCGATAAAGAACGGCACCCTAGTGCCATATCTGTGCTGTGGAATACCAGGGTAACCTTATTTAAATGGGGTCCAAATGTGCTGCTGGGTCCACTGCCCCCAGGAAATCCAAACTATGCTTTATAAGCACACATTACCTAGGGGTTGTGGGAGAGTGGAACAAGCTACCCTTTTATGTTGTTGATTACCCTGGTTTCCTTCAGGAAACATCTGGATGAGGTGCCTGAATCAATGAATTACTTCCAAATGGCCGCCTCTGCTTTGTAGCTTTCCTGATTTTCTTTTGTTCATTCTGGTGCGCAAGTGCAGTGCGCCACCCTTTTCTCTGTTATAAAGACATTTCAAACACGGTTTACGTCAACTCTTCTGATGCCCTCACTTACTCAGCCTATCAGACTCAGGTAACAGGCAAATAATAGGAAGGTTTAAAAGGGTTATATCTAGTCAAGACAGAGAAAGGACCTGTGATACAGAAACAAATAATAGTCTCCTTACTTCTGGACACACTGCTTCCTGTTGGGCTTCTCTTAGCAGACAGCGGACGGCTGAGGAAACAGAGGGGCATGCTTACATAACACACAATTAAAGAACTGCAAGACCCATGATTATCCCAGGACTCTCTGCAATGGATCAAAAGTGACTTCATGTCCATATATGATAAACAGTTGCAGCCGGTGCACTCACGAGAACACCACTAGAATATTAGAATCTGCAAAGAGGTTTGTTAGAAGTCATACGTTAGAAAGAGCTTATTTAAAACTGAGCATTTATGTAACATGTACAGCTGACTTACAGAAACAACACATGGCCACAGTGAACCGTGTACTGAAGCCAGAAGTGTTCATATTGACCATACTACCCGATTGTGCTTATCGTTGTCTGTGACCATTGCTGAGAAGATCCCAGTAGACAACACTTCAGTAAAAAACTGAAAACTCAAGATTTCACACCGCATGGACTGAAATGTCAGACCCAAGTGTAGATGTCTACGCTTAAAGCTTAGGTTTATTTTTTTCCAACATTGAAGACGCAGCAAAAACAGGCAACCGATCAAGTCATTAGCTCAGTTCAGAATCTGGGCGTGCTGCAGAGGAGAAGCCCCTGTAGGTCCTGGGAACAGCGGACCAGGAATCACTTACACCTCTATTCACGTTGATCAGCCAGGTCCTCATATTTAATTTGGTCAACCGGCTTTATTTCTTCCCAAGACTGTTAGGAATTGGGGAGTTAAAGGGAACTGCTGGAGTGTGGGTCATGCAGGCTGTCACTCTGGGAAACACAAGCACAGGGTCAAGCGTGGCTCACTTGAGGCTCTCCTGGGAGCTGGAGGAGGAGCGGTCCGACTGGGGCAGAGACACGATGCTGTCCGAGTTCTTCAGGTGGGACTGCAGGGCCTTCTGGTAAGAGGACTCCAGCGACTGGAAAAGCTGTTCTGCTTCCCGACTGAAGTGACTGTGGAATCCCCAGTAACACCTACAGAAAGGTCAAGTACAGCCACTCAGTAATAAAGAAGAAATACAGCTGTAGTGCGACAACAAAACAACAAAAAATAAAAGCACATGTACTGTACAACTTATTTGCGGTGGGGAAAAAAATCAAAGCAGCTTACATTACCAAGAAAAATCCAACATTTAAAAATAACACACAAAGCATTTTTAAAATAACACTTGGAAATTTAGCACTTCTTTTGCAGATGTGCATTGTCCACATCGTACATCTCACCACACCTTGCCTCTCCGAATGACCGTTCTTATCCTACGGTCCGATACGAGTAACCCAGACGGGGTTCCATGATCCCTTGGGCCACGGGTTCGAGACTTACTTCCTGGCGACCGATCTGGCTTCCGAGTCGGCATCGTGGATCCCCTTCTTGATCGTCTCCGTCAGGACTGCCATGTGCCTGCGAGAACGAGGCATCGTTACCGCCGGAGAGAGCAGAGCCCGTCACACCTCCCCACACACCAAAGGCTTGCGCACGGGGGAGGCAGGTCAAGTGAAAAGAAATCAATAAGAGGACATCTCTGGCACTGAAGCTTCACCGCCAGGCATTTTGCAAGTTAGCTGTACATCACAAAGCCGTCTGGGATATTGAAGGGGAAAGTGGGCACGGGGAGCACTTTTAAAGGTCCTCCCTTGGTTGCTATAGAAACTGCTGAGATGCGCTGCTCATTAATTTAACCCATGAAGGCTCATCAATCCCCTCATTCAGTGCTGTTCAGCTACTAGCATGCCTTTACAAGCTAACTGCTACACAGCAGACCTGTCGAGACAGGCCAGGGTCTTCCACTACCCCTGAGAGCACAGCGGCCTGCATGCAATTCCTCGTTTTTATCACTGTTTTTTTTACTACAAAAATTCAGAACCCTATATAGGGAATTTAAAAGCTTTTAAAAAACTGCAGGAGAATGTCTGCCTGAAGGGGCTGTGTTACTGCAGTCTTACCTCTCTAGTGAATGCGTGTGCCACTCCTGTAATAGCAAATCCAGAAACTCGTAGCAGCGCCTGAGGACAAAAGAAAAGGAGGTGTAAGTTCCTAGCAGGAAGTCATACTTCCTCATTGCGGTCATCTCCGATTTGTTTTGAAACCCTGTTACCTTCTGACAGCCACCGATTTGGAGGTGCAGTTGCTGGTCATTATGGGAATCAGTCGGGGATAGTGTGTGTGCTAAAAAAAACAACAAGGGACAATTCAGGAAATTCAGGAGAAACCACGGGTCACACATAAAATCCCAATCTGTTTTTAAACTGTGCCGATGCATGTCAACTCTAAACATCACACTGCTCTTTTCAATAATAATAATGTTATGATGTTGCTTTATTAGCCCTATACAATTTCTTGCATTTGGAACTCGTCTTTTCGCATACCCCAGCTTGCTCTCCATGGAGACACACAGACAGGGAGAGAAGCTGGGGGTCAGAGCGCAGGGTCAGCCATTGTACAGCGCCCCTGGAGCAGTTAGAGTTAAGGGGCTCAGGGGCCCCAACGGAGTAGGATTCCTCTGCTGGCTGCGGGATTTGAACCGGCAACCTTCCAGCCACAGGCACAGATCCTGAGCCACAGAGCCGCAGCTCCGCCCCCAGTGGAGGTAAGTAAAATTATCCTCTTTGTGCTATTAAAAAAGGCCTCGGATTCAATTTCTTAAACCTCCATGGCACTCCATGATAGGCAGTAGTCACTGACAGTACATCCAAAAGAGAACATGTTACAGAGGGAGGAATATATGGAGCCTTTTCTGCTGGGTTGTCAAACAAAGCTCTCTCATGACCACGGACATAGACATGATTGAAAAACCCTTTCGCACACTGGTATACTCACACGCATGATTAGTCGGATTGCAGCAACTCCAGATGTGGCCATGATTTTGGCACTATTTGGAACTAGATTCAGAAGAGTTGGCATGATTGTCTCTGCACCATGGTCAAATCTGTTTCCCAAAACCGAAGACAGATGCCTGGACAGGGAAATACTCTGTTATTGGATAACTCATATTAACGCTCCCTGGCTCATAGCTTCATGCCAACAATAAGGTCTATCTGTTGAGTTTCACACATGGTTATGCTGTTTGTAATTGGGAACATTTACAATTGAGTGATTACATGTCCACAAGCAAGGGTGTTATTTATGATGACATTTTTTCCCCAGTGCTCAGCAAGTTACTCTTCATTAGGATGACACCAGTGTTAAACGAGCTAAAACAAATTAATCTGGGAGTTCTTCAAGACTGGCTTTAATCGTTAATTGTGGTGGGGGCAAAACTGACGTTTTGATTAATATTTGCAAGGAAATCAAGAAGTTTCCAAATACTGATTTAACGCTTTTTTCCCCATGAATAATTGTGATGCTTTTTTTTTTATCAGACACTAACCCTTGAGTGTGGCACGGGAGAAACAGGCCCCCAGCCAGGAGAGATACAACCATTTTCAGCTGGTCAGGTCTCCGATCTGCTTTTGATTCAAGCGCCATTAAATGCGCGGGCAAACCTTTCAATTCATCCCACCTCAAAGAAATTAAAGCTTGCAAAACGTCTGCTCACCCTAGTGTAATGCACGCCTCCCTCACGACTTGCGAGCGGAGGTCTTTCACTGATAGTTTGAACGCGTTATCCAGGAGACGCAGATGCTGATGGTAGCCATCGTAGTCCGCTGCCCCTGCCAGTAGGAGAGACCTCACCTTCTTCAGCTGTGGGAGACAAAGTCTAATCAATTGATCCGTCTCCCTGATTCATGTGGGAATAACTCAACGTCCTGCACCGCCTTCTATGGGAGAGGTATGACATCAACTCAACCCGAAAAGACAGATCTAGGAAAAACCTTCTGTCAGAGAGCTCCGGCAATCGCTTGTTCTCACATGGCCCTACATGTAATCACAGCCCATGCTCTGTATAGAGGCCTCGTCACGCTAGGGTCACAAGTGGCCCTTAAATGATTCATCATCCCTCATTTGGGCTTAACCCAAAGGCTTGATCTTTATGTCCGAAATATGTGAGGATCTAAAAAGAGGTTCTTTAAAAGGAAAGGTTAAGAGGCCTGTTGTAGCAATTGGTTCATAAGGGCAGGCATATTTTAACTCTTCTACTCACAGCTTTAATGAAAATTCTGAAATTAATGAAAATTTCTGTGCAACAAAGAAGGCAGTAAAACACTGTGCATAGAGAGAAACTAGTGAAAGAAGAAAAACTGCGATGTTAGAATATTTATTCAGGTTACTTTGGAAATGTAGAAATGGCTGTCTGCAATGTAAGGCAAACTGGAGCGGAAGAAGGAGTGAAAGACTGATGTGCTCCTTTTCAGGTGTCTATTAAAATGCAGTGCAGGGCAGAAATCTGCTCTACTGAGATCCTTCACAACACAGTGCGGACAATGCTCACGATTACGGGGCAACACTGAAGCTTACAGCAACAACTCTCTGCTCCCAGTCGTGCTTGTCATCCGATAAAACCTCTCTGATTTTGTTCATTGACTCTTCAAGTTCTCTGTTGGAATAGATCTGCAAAGAGACACAGGAAAGCAGGGAGGTGCAGGTGTTTCACAGATGAGATCAGAGAAAGAGATTAAAAACCCACTGGTTTGGTTTAGATTACAATCCATTTGAAAACCGTGCAGACTGAGGACTCAGAACTACTTCTTAAGAAGTGCATTTTACAGATGTAGGTTAAGCCTACAGTTTTCAGGTATAATCGTCTTTTCTGTCCCCCCCCCCCACTGAAGCGACAACGCTAAGATCACAGTTTTTGCATAACTGTCAACGTCTGGCTTTCACGACAGCGCCGGCCAGCAGCTTGCCTGTACGGTCGGAACATCGTCGAAGGCGCGGATGAAGTCCTCCTCGTCCACGGCCCCTGCGCTGGCGCCTTCTTTTCCTGGAACGAGAGCGCGGAGACGCAACGCTAACAGCCTGCACACTACCGAAACAAAACCTGGCAGGGCGTTTACACTCTCTCCTGCTCACAGCTCTTGTTTCACTTGTTTCACTTGTTCCTCTGTCCTCGTTCTCCTCCAGTCCATTCCAAAAAGAGCACTGGTTGACTATGCTCTACCAATATGAAATTCCACCAGTACACTCCTCTGTATAAATAAATAAAGCTGGTCCTCCAGGGGTTTCTCTTCCACATGTAACACACCATCAGCTCACAGTGCTTGCTGAAAGCCCCTTTCATCAAACATCTACACACCAGCACCAACAGCCTCTCCATCAGCCTCACCTGCACTTCACCCAGTTAAGGGAGCTGGGGACCACCTTGCTCTTGAAGGGCTGCAAGGCTGGTTTGCAAATCCTGTTGCACACATTTTTCACTGCGCTGCATCAAACCACCAAACATTGCAAATATTACAAAGTATTTCCCCCCCCCAGGGTGTAGATTTATTTTAAACTACAGGACACGATAGGAGATAAAGACCCAAAACATGGTAACATCACGGCCCCTGACAAGCAGGCAGCTTCTCACCTGCTGCCTTTACGCCAGTGGGGGGGCCTGGCCTCCGCCCTGAGCCCATGCTGATCCCCTTTCGGCCACTAGAGGGAGCTTTAGAAGAGGAGGAACTGGAGGAGGAGGGTCTGTTCCCATCCACAGAGTCTTCATCGTCAAAATTCTTGTCTGTAAAAGAAAACAGAATGTCTGCTCATATATCTGTGCTTAAAGTGCTAAGAAATAAACATCTATATTCCAAGTAAAGACACAAGTTTAGGAAATGGATGAAAACATGAGCAGCACTTCTGGTTGTTCCTTGGCATCTTCTCATCCCTGGGTTCACAGACACTCTAAGATGATGACAACACACATGACATTTACCATGAAAACAGTCAGTCCTGACACATGCTGATTTCTTTTGACTGTCTTAGAGGAAAGAATATGAGGATATTTTCCATAACAATACTTAGAAGAAAGGATTTGAGGATATTTTCCATAATACTTTTCCTGAAGGACTGAGGGGCCTGGTATGATATTAAAGTAATTCCTTAGGGTAGCAGAAAAGCTCTTTTGCTGAAAAAGGTGAGAAATGTACTAGAGAAAGGAAGCAGAGTAACAGAAGCCATGCAGAACAGATAATAGTACAGGAGAGGCCACAGCAGGTCCTGGAGAGCCACCCACAGTCCACCAGATCTTATTACACTCAACAATTTAAAAATGCTTTGAACGTTTTTTTTTTTACCCTTTATGTTTTACAGCTGAAATGACAACACCAACACCCTGTAGCTCCCAGGAGCCACAGCTGAAGAGCACTGTTTCTGTTATGCATTACTGCTGGGGACTGTTAGGTTTCAACAGTCAAGGTGCTTCATAGATGTATTTACTGACAGCAAAGAGTTTCAGTTCCTTTCCAAAACCACAATCATTGGAAAACATGTTTTATTCTACAGAGCACATGGACTGGGGGAAGCAGAAAATCAGCCAGACAAATAATCAATTGTCATGAATAATTCAGCGAGTCCACACTGCCCGATGAGACTGACGATGCACACCGAATTCACAAGCAGCTCGCGGTTTGCCATGGAACGTGCACACTGATGAACAGATCCGCTTCCAAACTGTAACTACAGCCCAGTACAGCGCAGAGCTACCGTACACACATTACTGCACACCCTGGCTTTTAAACACACAGGCCTGAACTTACAAAAACACATTCTGAGTTCTCAAATGTATTCAATACGTACACGTCAAAATAAGACTAAAGCTGTACAGGCTGTTCGCCTCCCAGGATAGGTTCTTTCTTCCACGCACAGAACAATAAACATGAAATTAAACACTCGTTCTTCCGCAAGATATCTGTACAGGGCATCGACGGAGACAATTGATTTCAGTCTTCCTATCGCCTCACCAGATACACCAGCCGGCTCTCTATCCTACAGAGCTCAAGATTATTCTCACCATGAGGGCCTGAGCCTCCATCACTCATTTCCACATGCTGTCTCTCACGCCTGCCAGGACAGAGGCAACCCTCCTGCCCTCCACGCCATCTATTCATTATTAAGCAAATATGTGGCTTTGCGTTCATTAACTTCACCATGCCAATAAGATAAGATAAGGTAAGGGATGCTTACAAGCACAGATCCTCTTGCAGACCAGCTTTCTCAACATTCCTTCATGCTCTCAGCATCACCCTCATATCTGACACGGTTTGAGAGGGGTCGTATTTGCAATCAATCCAGGCTGCGATCAATCATGCTCTCTCGCTCGCGAGCGGCGAGGTCTGGGCGTGTTCCCTGCCCACTCTGGGCTTAAACACACAGTCGTCCAATTCCAGAGGGGGCACCTCCGCTGCTTCTGCCTTTCCCTTTGCCGAGTGCACAGAGCACCGGGGCCGGGGAAGTCGTCACCGCTGTGAGCGCCTGTCCCGCGGGAGTCTGGCACAGAAAGGACGGAACAGCTGTCACGATCCGCCACGAGCACATGGAGCCAATCCAGCCTCTGACGAGGCCTCACCCTTCCGGCCGGCATGACTAACCCTGCAGAATCCCCGTGGCCGTGCGGCTCAGGTAAAGACTTTTAACGGCACCAGTCCCTCAGAGCACACACAAACAGAAAATAATAAAATGACGTGGCCTGCCTTTGCTTCTAACATCCTTCAGTTTTTTGAAAAAAAAATAATGTTAGCATGCAACAAAGCTGAAGATCTGAAGCCACATTAAGCAACAACCATTTTCTCACAGCACACAGGATGAAACAAATCCATATATTCTTAAATTTCTTTTCTGCAATTACACTGAGGTTCACAGTATGGGCCTCAGAATGTTTATGTTCCAGTTCTCTGCAGTGACAGCCACTACAAGAAAGGTAACATGAGACAGGGCAGGGTTATGCTGGAGAGATCTGCTTCTACTGAGCTTCTTGGGTGACCACAACAAAAGCAAAAAGGAGGAACTACAGTACAATTACATCCCGACTCGCTTGCAGAGCTTCTAGAGTGAAGGTTTTCGTGAGGGTAATGCCAGTTAGGAGAATTCTACCAGGAGACTTAAATGAATAGAGAATTTACAGCACACACTGGCAAAGTGCTGACTTTCTTACATATTTCATATTCATGACTATTACTTGTGTACTAAGAAACCCTTATTAAGTCATCACTAGCACATAAGGCTGGAGCGAACACTGATTAATAGAGCATCTTTAATTTATGATGCGCTGAATAGCCAAAGGGACTGTCAGAGTGCAATGGAAACAGTTATTGTGTTCAGGCAACATTAACATTCAGCTCCATTACATCAGAGGCTTTTTGTGGATTCTTTCCTGCTGGACAAAGTGCTAAACCTCTGAACAACTGTATGCATTTTAAAATGATTGGGATGGCTGATACGCTGGTCCCTGAAAAACAAAAGGAAGGCAGGTTCTGGCTGACCAAATGTTCACTGAGACAGAGTACGAGATTCTGAAAGAGAGTTAAAAGTTGCACAAGCATTAGCTGATTAATTGCAATTAGCCAAGCATTGTGAAATTAACAATTAGGACATGCCTCTAAATGTTAAGGTAATTAATAAGGGTACATTGTATAATTAGTATTGAGCCGAAGCCGCATGTAATCTCTGGGCTGAAAGGTTTACATAAACAGTAAAGGGGATACACCTCAATGATGGCCTTGTTCTTTATTCCTCTGGGTGAACATCTCCAGGCACTGGATCGTGTTTCGGAACTAATCCACACTACCTGCTAACCTGACGTCATTGCAAATGAGGCACACCAGACCAGACCCGACTACAGCATAGGTTTTGGATGACCAGTCCTTTAAAATCGCTCCTTTTCAGTAAAACAAATGGAAAGAAAACGGAGGGCCTTTCAAAATGTACAGGTCTGTGCGGGGCTGGCCATCTGTGTGACGAGGAACGCGATTTGAAGGCTACGACGATGACAGGTTCTACTGTGGCTTCACCCAGACCCCAACCAAAAGGAGAAAGTCGAGTTAGAGCTGAACTGTGGAGTTCTTACTGCACAGCCCTGACCTGTCGAGCACACTGAGCCGTGACCCCGGTGTTCCCTTACAATCAGCTGCTGTAACAGAGCCCCTAACTGTTGCACTTCCCACAGCTGAAGAAAGAAGCAGGACAGCGTGACGTCCTGTATACGTGGTCTGAACAGAGCCTGAATGGCATCATCGGCCGGGTCATAGTGGCTTCCTTCACCCTCATTTAAACACCACAAAAGGCAAAAGCATTACAAAATGAGAAAAAATATAATTCCAACCGGAATCGGAGGAGAATGGGACGTTATACTTTGTCCCAGAGAGAAAGATGAGCGACAAAAAAGGATGACCTACGATGTGGGAATATTTCAATCTCCGGACAAATAGCAGCTCATCAGGACAGAGCCCCAACCTGGTCACTGCAGTGTTAAGCGGAAGAGAGAGCTTGTGACTCCCCCTCTGCAGGGGACACTGGGCCATCACAGACATGACCCCCCCAGCAAGACTGATCCCCACTCAGAGAGCTGGGAGGACTGGAGCCACTGGGGTTAGGGTACCACAGCAGTGTCTGCAGCTGGGCCTCGAACCCACAACCCATCAGTTATGAGACCAGAGACGTGCCCACCATGCTACACTTCCCTATATGAAAGGGTCAATAAAGTTATCTGAAGTTGGGTATCATCATCAGGGATCTGCACATACATCTCTCCGGATTATGAGATGTGTAATTTTATCAACCATTCCTGAGAAACTGCATCCCACAGTCTTCCCGCAATCTGTACCTCAATCAGAAGTGCACCCAGTAAAAAGATGTGCTTTGATTACCATAGAGGGAAAGCACTTAACTTCCATTATTCATGTTATCTGGAAAGATTTTTCTTTCCTTTCCACTTTTGAAATTGCAGGTGTTCAGAGACTGGGCAGCCAGAGAACCACATGCAACAATCTACACTGACACAGACACGACAAACCTTTAAATCTGTGTAAAAGATTCAGGTCCTGCACTGACCCAGATGGTGGAAAGACATGTATCTAAAACAACCCTGCACAAAACTGAAGACTAGATGTTTTCTGGTTTGTACTAAAAACTTCAAAAGAGATTGTAGAAATACCAAGGTTATATATATACCCAAGGAAATATAAAACTCAGGTCGAGTATTACAGGGTTTTGTTTGCCTTTTACAAATATCAGGAATTCCAAAGCAAAAAATATACAGACAGGATTTAAAGGTAATGTGTTCCTTCCAAAGTGCTGAATGTCTTGCTTTCTTCAAACTGAAACCTGAACTGGAATTGGCTATTTGGTCTCTTAATTAATCCTTTCTCCTTCAAGGTTAAGGACAGAATAAGTTGGTTTTTTTTTTGCTGTTGAGCTTCTGTTTTGCAAACTGGTTCATACTGAGTGTTTTTCCAACTATTAATCCCACTGTCTTCAGCATGTAACTTCTTACGAAGAGGCACAGAACAATAAGTGACAGAGCTCTTGGCACAGAAGATCGTTAGGATTTGTCATCACATGCCACCGTTCTTTTAAAATGCGGATGCACAACCCAACAGTCGTGAGTAAAAGAGGGGGGCTGTGTTTAATTCGAAAATAAACATCGTAAACACGTCAACAGCACCAGAGCAAGGGCCGAGCTTGTGGAGAGAAACCGCTGCAATGCAGTTGTTACCCGCTCAGTGATGCAGCTGCAAGCCGGAT